GACCCATGCTGCGCCTGGGCTGGGACTGGTCCCGCAGGCGCAGGGTAGCAGGAAGCTCTCCACACACTCACCAGACCTGGGCTAGGACTGGGTCTGGGGGTTCCCGGAATTCGGCAGAAAATCCTACTTGGCGGGTGGGGTGGGGGAGGCACTGAGGAGTGGTGGGGGGCGCCCCAAGGGGCTGGGAGAGGGTCCAGCCCACGCTGTGCCTGGCCTGGGACTCTCAGTGCATTTTTAATTAGGTTGAGGTTACTTGGTGTTCTGTATGCTTTAGTTACCTAAATGTCAGATTGTTTCCTCATATTTGGGAAGCTTTATGCTATTACTTCTGCCCATAATTTTTTAATGTCATTTGTATTGACTCCTTCTTTCTCATTGATGCCTATTAGTCTCACATTGTTCATCTTGGCATGATCTTGCAGATGATGTATTAATTTTTCTTGCATCCTTGTTGTTTATGAGATTCTTTCTTACCTTTTCACTAGCTTCATCAGCATCTTCTAGATCTGAACCTCTGTCTTCACTTTCACTTAAATGATTTTGTAAGCTTGTGATTGAGATTTTTAAGTTCCTCTATATCTCTTTGACTCTGCTTCATGCGATCTATTTCTTTCCTGTATTGCTCATTCAAGGAATCCATCATTTTTCTAATCTCCTCTTTTTTTTATCAATGTCTTCTTTGGAAGCAGTTATAAATTCTTTTACTGCATTGGTATTTTTTTCTGATTGGGTTTCCTCCCTATGTTTCTGTAGTTGATTCTTTACTTCAGATGCTATGAGCTCTGAGAAATCTTTTTTTATTTCAGAAAAAATTCTGCTCTGAGTTCCACTATAACTTTCTGCTGTTGCTTATTTACTATTGATGCTATTCATTCGTACATTTGAGCTGAGCTAGTAGAAAAGAATTCTGCTCTGAATTTCTGTATGACTTTCTGCTGTTGCTTATTTAATATCAACGCTATTAATTCATACATATGAGCTGAGCTAGTTTCCTCTGCACTTGTTCTGGGTGGGCACTGGGTTTCCTCCATATGTTTCCGCATTTGTTTCTTTACTGCAGATGTTATTAATTCAGGGATTTCTTTTTTCATTTCCAATCTGAGTTCCTCTATACCTTTCTGCAGCTGTTTCTTTATTTCAGAAGCCGTTGATTCATTGCTTTCAGCTGTGTGATTTCCAGTTTGTTCTGTGTTAGTGTCCTCTGCACTTGTTATGGGTGGGCTTGGGTTCTGAGATTGCATTTTGCTCCTTCTTGCTGTCATTTGTGTAGCACTGTCTTCTGACCTTGTTGTAGATCTTTTTTGCAGTTGTAGCCTTAGCACGTACTGAAGTTCAGGTGCAGATCTACAAAGTTTGGATTTATCCAGTTGTGCCTGACTTGGGTCTGGCTGCTGTGCTCAGTTCCTTCCTGTTGCTGCCCTTGGGGGTAACCTGTTGTGCCCCTCTGGCAAGATGTTCTGCTCCTGGACTAGCTGGATGGTTCTGTCCCCTACACTCTCTACAGGGACTGCAGCTGAAGAGTTTCACCCCTGGCCTTTATTCCAGGGCTATGCTGAGTCTGGAGGGGACAAGGTGGAGTAAAGGGGAGAGGCAGTTCTCCCACACACTCACCGGGCCTGGACTAGGACTGGATCTGGGGGTTCCCAGAACACAACAGAAATTCATGCTCTGTGAGCGGTGTGTGGGGGTGGGTACTACGGGGTGATGGGGGTTGTCCCAAGAGGGTGAAAGAGGGTGTCACCCATGCTGCACCTGGGCTGGGACCAGTAGGTCATGCCAGCACAGGGTAGCCAGAACCTCTCCCACACACTCACCGGGCCTGGGCTAGGACTGGATCTGGGGGTTTTTTGGAATGCAGCAGAAATTCCTACTGGGCAGGTGGGGTAGGGGAGGTGCTGAGGAGTGGTAGGGGGCATTCTAAGTGGGTGGAAGAGTGTCTCACCCACGCTGCGCCTGGGCTGGGACAAGTAGGTACTGCCGGCGCAGGGTAAGTGGAAGCTCTCCCACAAACTCACCAGGCCTGGGCTATGACTGGGTCTGGGGGTTCCTGGAACAAGGCAGAAATTCCTACTGGGTGGGTGGGGTGGGGGAGGTGCTGCAAAGTGGTGGGCGGCATCCCAAGGAGTGCAAGAGGGTCTCACTCACGCTATGCCTGGGCTGGGACCAGTAGGTCCCGCTGATGGAGCGTAGCCGGAAGCTCTCCCACATACTCACCATGCCTAGGCTAGGACTAGGTCTCAGATTCAGGTTCTTTTGATTCCTAATAAGGTTGATTGTTTTACAATCCTAAATGCATTTGGTATAGAAAAAGCTTTGATATTTTACCAACAAATATAGAGATTTAGCGTATAATCTAAAAGCACTGATGTTTAGTGCCAGTGAGATAGCTCAGCAACTAAAGCACCTGCTTGGACAAGCTTAGACAAGTGCAGGGACCTCAGTTCAATCCCCAGTACCACATGCTGTGCCAGCCCTACCTCCAGGGTGAGCTGAGCCAGCCAGAGTCTGGGTGTGGTGATGTACACCTGTAATCCCTGTGCTGGGGAGGCTGAAAAGAGGAGGATCACTTTGAGTCCAAGCTGCATAGTGAGACCTTGTAATAATCAAATACATTTAAAAATATAAAATAAAAAAGCAATAGAGTTTAAATAGTTGCTTAATTTTGACATCCCCATTTAAATAGTGGCCTGCCTGGTGGTGGCCTCCAAAGGAGCACATGCTATGACAACTACTTCATATTTGGTTCAACTTATTCAACAAAGATATATTGTGCCCCAGACTGTTCAGATCAACCCAAAATGATTCACAGGCTTTATTTGATAATAT